AAGGGTGAAGGAGAATCAAGATCAACAGCTCAAGCCTGATTCCTATGAGGCGGAGGTCAGACATACCTTCTCTCACCAGCCCTTTCTATCAATTCTGACACCATCTGTCCCTCCCACGGTGCACTCTACTTCTCTGCTGAGTTCCATAATTTGTTGCAGTGGCCACACAGAACTCACAGACAATACTCACGATTATGAGGTTGATCAGAGAAGTAACAGGTTGCAATTCAGGTTCAGGAACACTCAGGATACAGCTCTTCCCATCAGGACAGTCTCTTCTCAGCTGTGCCCACAGGCATGCCCCTCTCCGGCCCTTGGCCTCTGCCCTGCTCAGGCAAGTGTTACAAAGCTCTTTTAGCTCTGCTAATAAGTGCCCTGAGACACTCCATTCCACCAGTAAGCCTCAGCTCTAAGGCATCTAGCTCTAGCTCAATGGGTCAGCAAACCTAGCTCCACCAAGTGCCCGGAGGCACCCTGATCCATCCGCCAGAAAGCCTCCTGCCTGAAGGCACTCAGCTTTCTCGCTCTGTGGGCCAGGAAGCCCACCACACCGTCTCCTGCCAGTCTCCTGGTTCTGCTGCCACTGTTTCTCTGCCACTACTTCTTGCCATCTCCGATGTTACAGCTGCCCCTTTCTGTCCTGGTTCTGCTGCCTTTGCTGCCTCTCTCTGTCTTACTTGTTACAGTTCCTCTCTCTGTCTCGTGGATCTAGGAGGTTCTCAGAGTAGAGATTACGGGTTCAGATGACACGCTCCACTCCTGGCTTTTCTTTCTTGGTGGTGTTGAGATCCTTTCCTCCCACCTCTAGGATGGCTCATTTTAAACCTAGCGGGATGGCAAAACTGACCAATCTCTTTGTTAGGGTTCCATATATCTTATTTGTATAGTCCCACTCAATCATTGTGTGAGTCACAAAGACTGTGGGTAGAAGGGCCATACTAAGTAATCCATTGCACCTCAGAGTCCTTGCTTTCAAGTCTCTTGGCTATATCCTTAGAAGTGGAATTGCTAGGTCAAATGATAATTTATATTTAATTTTTTGAGGAACCAGCACACTGTTTTCTACAGCAGCTGCACCATTTTACATTCCCCTCAGCAATGCATCAGAGTTTCTAATAGATACATTTTTCCTGAGTTTAGGGGCAGGCCTTCTCAGGTTAGTTCCACCTTGTGGCAAACAGGTCTGTCAGCCTGTTATCACTGGAACTCTATAAATTGACATTTCCTCTTTGCTTTCACAATGCTAATTGAGGTTCACAATGATGACCCTGAGGCACTGCAAGTTCCTGAACTGCCTTCTGAATTACCAAAGAAAGATTAAACTGCACAGCCTAGTTCATGTACTCAGTAAGTACTCATTGGGTGCCTACTACTGGGCACCCAACTTTGGCACCCTGCCCTCAGGAAGCTTATAGTTTGCTGGGGGAAATACATATGCATCAAATAATTACACAATAAGTTTAAGATAGCAACTGTGACAAGGGCCACTAAGGAGAGATGCCTGGTGCTCTGAGAGTATAATGAGGGAATGTGACCAACTGAGGAAGTCAGGGAAGGCTGAGAACGGAATGACTGAGCTGAGATCTTGAAGCACGAGGGTTAAAACTAGGTAAAGAGAGGAAGGAAGATCATTCCAGGCCAGGAAAACATGCAAAGCCCTGCAGTGTGAGGGAGCATAGTAAATAGGAGGCCAAAGTAACTGGGATGGAGAGAACAAGGAGGAAGATGCTAAAAAGGAAGATGGGGACAGATCATGCAAGGCCTTTTAGGCTGCATAGAAGAGTGGTTCTTTATACCAAGAGAGATGGGAAGCACAGAAAAGTTTGATCAGATTTGCATTTGAAACCCATCACTCCAGCTGTAGTGTGAAGAAGGACTGAGTGTAGTATTTTTGTATCCTGATGCCAACAATTTCTGGACACGAAAGATGACAGATATTCTAATTGGCCACCTCTAGTCAAGTCTCCCGTCTTCTATTGTTGGTACAGAGGACTGAATTCAACTCATGTTTAGATTGGGTGCTGTGGGACATAAACTCTTCAGGAGTCCCTAAGTAGAGCAAACAGTTAAGTTCTCAACTACCAGCTGAAAGGTTGGCAGTTCAAACTTGCCAGGAAGCACTTCAGAAGAAAGGCCTGGCAATCTGCTTCTGAAAGGTTCCTCTGCACACATGGGTTCACCACAAGTCAGAATCAACTCCATGACAACCAACAACAACAACAGAGCAAAGCCACCTACATTTTGGTTTTAGGTAAGTGACCTGAACAGCTCGTTCACCTCCTAGTAGGTAGATTAGAAAAAGATTCATAATCATCCAGCTTAGCACTTTTCACATAAATATGCTATACTAAGTGTTGTTTTGGAAATCCCGGTGGCGTAGTGGTTAAGAGCTATGGCTGCTAACCAGAAGGTTGGCAGTTCGAATCCACCAGGCACTCCTTAGAAACTCTAAGGGGCAGTTCCACTCTGTCCTATAGGGTTACTATGAGTTGGAATCGACTCGACAGCAAAGTGTTTGGTTTTTAGGGTTTTTTAGGTGTTGTTTTATATGAATCCTGTCTCACTTAACCCCACCACAGTCCAGTGAGGGAAATATTATTGTTATTCTTATTGGCTCAGAAAGGTTAAATAATGAGCGCAGATCATTCAGCTACTAAACGCTCAGGAAAAGAATCCACGTCATCTCAATTCAAAGTCCCCTCCACAACGGCTCCTTTAAATAAGCTCAAAGTCAGGGATAAGTTGAGGCCTTTCCTACAAGTTTCGTCTTTGAGGAGTGTGGTGATTTAAACAATTTTCCCTACTGCCACATCTACTCTGACCTCTAAGAATAGTCACCAAAGAGAAGAGGCACATATCTCTCTTTCTAGTTACCTGTTTGTTCACAGGGGTGTGCCAGCAGCCCTCTGCCATCCTCCCAAGACCTGCCAAGCAACCAAGTGTAAAATTGGCCTAAACTGAATCTTTTCAGGCAGGCGATTAACAACTGTCTTTTCTCCTCCAGTTTTATTGAAATTAGCTAGTAACTAATAGTTCAGGTTCATCAAAGCAATTACAGTCAGTGCCTCAAAAACCTGATTGCTCAATGAAGTTCAAGGCAAATTACCTTTAAAATGCAGTTCTAATATCCTGTGTGTAGGAGGTATTTTTTCCTAGCAACACACTTGGAGCACAAATAACCTTTGCCTGGAGAAACATCGGTATTCTCAAAAACAATGACATGGATTTTTCACAAATGTTCTACATTTTCTCTCTTTGAAACGAATACGGGGATAAATCAGAGCATGTACCTTTGTAGGAGGTGTGGGGGAGCAGGGTTGGCACAAATAAGCTTTGAGGCATTGTTTTTGTTCTCCAGCATAAGAAGGTGGGATAAAGCTCTAAATTTCATGAGTGAGTTCTGATTCACCCTTGGCATTTCTTTTTAATGCTCACATCCAACGATGAGGAGAGATAGGTAGCAAAGGGTCTGGGATGGGTCTGGAGGAGGTGAGGAAGAGTTGAAGAGAACACTTAACGCACTGATGGAAGAAAATAGTCAATGAGAGGAACTGTAAGAGGAAAGAGAATGACTGAAAATGAACTGGGAGATTAAAGGGAAAACAGTGAGAAACCACAGGGAAGGAAGAAATGTTTGCTTGCATGGGGAGGTGTTGTTCTGTCCTTATCACATGTCATGGATTGAATTGTGTCCCCCAAAAAATGTGTGAAGCAACTTGGCTAGGTCATGTTTCCCAGTATTGTATGATTGTGTTATCTGATGTGATTTCCTTATGTGTTGTAAACTCTACCACTATGATGAGATTATATGTGATCTCCTGATGTGTTGTAAATTCTATCACTGTGATGAGGTTATACTGACGAGGTTGACAAGATTAGTGTCTTAATG